TGACATTTTATGTCTTTTGAAGGTTCTCTTTGCTGAAGAAAAGATCTTTGCCATTGACAAAATATTTGTGCTGCAATTTACAGCGATTTTTAGAAAACTACACCAAAGAGTAATGCCTGAATAGCTTCAACTCTTCTAACTCATAAATATTCACCTATTGAGCGCAAAACTGACCTGTTTTCTTCTGCCATTGAGCTACAAATGAAACAAGACAGGTCCCATTCTAGTGCCTATTTTCATACAAGTGCAGAAGCTTCAGGGAAATGCTGATATCAAGTATTTACCCCCAAACAATGTGTGCCCATGAACATTTCCATACTCTCTGTTTTAATTGTTTTCATTGCATGCTTATTATTATTATTATTATATTATTGTGAGCTTTGCCAGTATGGTTTATTTTCTGTTTGTTTCTCTTTCTTATTTGACATTTGAAGGATGTTTTAACATAGAATAGGTGTGGAACAGGAACCTGGTGCAGTGCTTTCTTCAAATTGATAAATGTAACTATGACCTACCCCTACTGTCAGATCAATGTATTTTCAGCTGAGCATTTTGCACCAATGCTCTCGGTTGACTCTTCTCCTTGTCTCTTTCCCACCTGTCCAACTATTTTGACAAAATATTGTCAGGTTGCACATTCTTATACTTTGGTTTTAATGTGTGAGGTTTTTTAAAGATACCTGTAAGGTTTTGGGATTTGTTTACTCAGAAGAGGAACATTTGGGACACACTGAAATATGCAAGAAACCCCTGCCTACCTACTGCGAGTCTCATTCTGATGCTCATTGGTGCAAGATGGTGTCCTGATGGAATTGTAGCACTGAAAAGTCTTTAAGAGGCACAGCTGGAAAGGGGGGACAGGCTGGGGTGGGACCTTTGGTTCTTCAGAGCAGATAGCACCTTGGGGCAGTATGCGTGGTTCATATTTTGCGAGAATTTTGTCTGTGGGGCTATGGCTGCTCTGTTTTCCAATGAGTTCCTGCTGAGGAAAGTATTCTCTCTCTCCACATGTGTCTGGGGCTGACCTGCAGCACATGGTGGGCTGGTTTCATAAAGAATTTTGAGGTCCAGAGATCAACTGTAAACTTCTTCCAGAAAAGTGGCTGACTAAATTAGGCAGGATGTTTATGGTCTTCCTCCCTCCTTAATGCAGGGCCTTGCCGAACTTGTAGACACTTAGTTCTGATGCTCCATTTGTGCTGTGGGCATTTACCTGTATTCCTGCTAGTACTCCATCAGCTAGTTCGCTAGTACAGAAGCCAAACATCTGCATAAACGTGACGTTCAATGGAGGTACTGAATTTCCAAAGTGCAAAGTGTTTCATGCTGCTTGAAGTAAGAGGGAGGCGCATGTGTGACCTCACGGCTGACTTTGTTTTGTCATTCTCTTCCAGGTGAGCGACCTTACAAGTGTCAAACCTGCGAACGGACCTTCACTCTGAAGCACAGCTTGGTCCGTCACCAGCGCATCCACCAGAAAGTCAAAAATGTCCGAAACCACGGGAAGGAGAGCGACAAGGAGGAGACGCAGTCGAGGTGTGGAGAAGACAGTGAGAACGAGTCCAGCCACAGCGGCACCAACCCCATCTCCGAAAGCGAGTGCGACTCCGCGGGGGGCGTCGATAGCCATTCGTCCCTCGTGGGGAGCCGGAACGAGGCCCTGGCCGGCATGGTCACGGACTCCCCCTGCGGAGAGGAGAGGAGCGGCGCCTGCCTCGCCGAGCCCACCAAGAGCACGCAGAAACACATGGCAAAAGACCAGGAACCGCGGGGCAGCTCCGAGCACGAGAGGCCCTCAGGTTTCATCCAGAACTTGCTGGAGATGCACAACGCTCCGTCTCCCATGAATCACATCCTGGCCTCTGCCGACAGCGCGCCTCAACTCTTGGGGGTGGAGTGACTTGCTAGGAGGTTGGACGCGTCTCAGCAGGCAAACTGAAGCCAGCAGAGCAAGGTTTCTGGAGTCTGGTTTTGGAAGAGCGACCGTACAGCTACGGGGAGAGAGTATGGCAGACTGGACATGGTGCCATATGCCTTTCAGTATAATAATGCAAGAGACTACAGTATATACTGATTTGAGTGCCTTACTACTTTATTAGATCTTTTGGTATTATAGATTTTTTTCAAAAATGATTTTAATATTTTAAAGAATTATTTGGAGAGGACCCTTTTTCATTTAAGCATTAATGTTACCTTTTGTATTGGTGTGCGTGAGCTTGTTCTTGTATATCTGTGATAGTCGCTGTGTTTGTTCTCTGAGCTGGAAATGGGGCAGTGGGGTGGGAGGCCCTTGGATACCATAGCCAATAACTGGAAGAAAAATGATGTGAATTTCATATGAAATATTCAGAGGAGATGCAGAGGAGACATTGATTTATTGGTTTTTTTTCTCAGTAGATGTTCTTGCATTTGCCACATGGTGGAGCATTAAGCCTGTTCCAGGCATGAACAACGTGGCAGTTGAAGGTGTTCAAAGTGATTCAAGCCAAAAGCAGGAAACACAAACGAATTTCAACCTCATGCATGTTTCCACTTTTCAGCATTAGAAGTGGTCTTTTTAAATCCTAGGGGTTTTTTCTGGCCGTCACGGACTGAGCGTGTATACAGAGATGAGTTACATAGCAACGTAACCTATGGAAATTATGCACCCGCTGTTACATATGTTTGATTTGCTTCAGTATATTATTATTATTATTATTATTTTATTATTATTTTATAAATCCATCAGTTCGCTTGTCTCTGCAGTCAGCAGAAGCCAATGGGCAATATTTGCCCACGGAGATGCGTAGCGCAGCTTGGATCCCGTCTCGGAGTGTTCTTGACTCATCAGCTTTCACCAGCTCCTCCTCCTCCTGTTGTTGCAGCTCTTCTACTGTACTTTACATGAACCCCTTCCTCTGACCGGAGTGTCCCGCGGAGGCCAGCGAGGTACCGTGCCCGTGCGGGGCGCATCTCCCTCGCGGCGTGGGCGTGGGTGCGAGGTGCGACAGCGGGGCCGCGCGGGGCCCTGGTGCGTGAGAGAGGCTCCGCCGGTGCCGCGGTGACCTCGCTGCCGTCACGTCGGTGACGGTCGCTCACAGAGCAAAGTTATTCCGTCTTCCAGTGGAAAGCAAGAGAGAAATGCGAGCCTTACCCTCGTCTTGCTTCTGTCGTGTTCTAAGAGCAAGAAAATACTACTGGTAATAAAACTACAGATATACGACATGTTAAAAATAAATAAAATAAATTTAAAAGAAAAAAAAAATAGAAATAAATTCTTCCTGAGATTTTGGGGTTGATGCTTGAAGACTTGAGGTGTGTGTCTAAATTTCGTATCAGTAATTTAACCCCTTTAATGCTGGCAGCTGGAATTACTCCATGTGGCTCCTGTTGCCGGCAACAGGTGACAGACGCTCCAGCCACCAATATTGAAGGGGTTAAACGAAATGTATCCTACTGTAGCTGTGCATTTTTAGGAGTGCCCAGCATTTTTGTTGTTCTTGTGTTGTTGTCGTTATTGTTGTTTGTTAATTGTCCTTCAGTCATGACCTCTGGGACAGACAGAGCCATAATAGCATTGCCGGAGCCTCACTGTGCTACTCCACCGCTGCAGCCCCCCAGCCCAGCCCGCACTGTGACCCTCCCTCCTTCCCACCGCAGAATCGCTTTTCCTGCTCTCACCAGACATGGAGGAAGTGGGCCTCGGACCCAGTCTATATTATATAATATATATCTATATATATATCTATATATTAAAAATTCTCGGAAAAATTTCTGGAGACTGAAATCTCACTGTCCAGAATTCAGAGGAAGAGAAACGTTCTTGAGTAATATTCTTGCAAATAGAATAAGAAAAAAATGGTTGAGGTATATGTGATTTCTATTTTTTTTTTTGTTTGTTTTTTTTTTTAATTTTTAAATAGGGATGTTTGAACCAGTTCAGAAACGAAGCTAACTCCAGATATAGATAAATCAGACACAACCAATGATTCATTTGAAACTCTACCCAGGTGCATTCTACTTAATGAAAACCAGTTCACGCATCCCTTAAATTGTTATTACTATTATAATTATAATAATAATTATTATTATTATTATTTTGGGTAATTTTTTTTGTTTTTGTAATTTTTTGTTTGTTTATTTTGGGGTTGTTGTTTTGTTGTTTTGGGTTTTTTTTCCGCAACTCTCCACACTAAACTGCGCAATACTGTGGGGGAGAAGCCATTACTAAACTATATGCTGCAGAACAATGTAGCAAATAATTAATTCCCAGCAGCCTGCCGGGACATCTGCTAGCAATAATCACTATTGATTTAAAGCTTTATTTAGCCTTTATCTATATCTTAGTAGAGTATAAGGTCTTGCCACATTTTATTGACATTTTTATTAGTTGAGTTTGACTGAGAACTGTTGCTGTTGTTGGGGTTTTTTTGTTTCCCTTCCTCCCCCAATATTAAACTGTGAAATTTATAATGTGTTTAAACTATGGGTGAATCTTAGGCTTTAGTTTGCATGTTCAGCTAATTTGTCTCTATATGATTTTCGTTTGAATCTTTTTATTTTTTTTCCTCTCTCAGGGCTTTTACAAAAAACAAAAAACAAAAACAAAACAAAAAGAAAACAAAAAAAAAGATCTTCTAAAATTCTTTTGCCTGAGTTGCAATGGACTTAACATGGAGATAATTCAATCACTACATTAAGCACTTGACTGTGAAAGCGCAAAAAAAATAAAGGAAAAAGAAAAAAAAGAGAGAACCTTGTTTGAGGCTGTTGTGAAATAACTCTAGGGGGCTATGTGACAGTGATTCCATTTTCAGAATGATTCATCTTCTCTTTCCTCTCTGTGTGTCTCCTTTCTCTCTCTTCTCTCTCCACGAAGGAAGTTTAATCCTAGTGATTTCATCCCATGCAGGAAACAGTAATAAATGTGTAGAATTCATATTTTTCTAAAGGGAACTTAAACTGCTGCTACGAATTGTGTACAAGACTGGTTTATGCCACATGAACAGAGAATCACACATAGTTTTGGTACTTTTATTCCTCTTTTTTTCAGTTGTACAGTACTTCCAAATTCAAAATAAAAAGTAAAACTTGTTCTGTATCAAACCATCTAAGCAATAAAATGTTATATTTAAAAATTATAGGTTATTAAATGGGCGTGGCTCTTCTTGTGGGTTTGTGGTGACTTATTCTCTGCCTTAGCTCTGCTGGAGGTCGACTTGCAAGCCAGTTTGTCTGTGCTGATGGATCACTGTTTCTCTTCCTTCAGTTGATCTGAATGTGAGCTGGAGATGTTTGCAGCACTCTGAAAACTCGTGTTCATTTTGACCACCATTTTCTGGTAGCCAGGCCCCTTTGAAATGCTGCTTGTCTCCCGGATACAGTTCCTCAATGCAGCGACTGAACGCAGTAGAAACTGCTGATTTTCCTGCATAGGCAGGGTCAGGATTCTTTTCAAATTAATGGTAGCCCCATGGTCACATGGGTGAGCATCTTCTCAGCGTGTACCAGTCATTTTTTTACAAATTAAGTAGGTTTCTGCTACTATAGTTTCCTTCTTGCATAAATGTTTATAGCCACAAACTCTTCAGGATTTGTCCAAAAGCCATGTGCATGTGTCAAAAAAGAGACCAATCCTTTGTTTTAGCTTGTCAGAGCTGCCTTAGCTGCATTTTATATGCCTTCCTATAAAGAAAACCCATTTCACAGGACAGTGAGCCAAAGAATCATCCGAGTTGTGCATCCAGCTCTCCAGGCCAGGGAATTGCAGTGAAGCAAAGCATCCACATCTTCCTAAGTCCTGCTGCGGTGGTGCTTTCTGGCAGAGAAGTGAACCAGGTTCAGAATGAGAGACAGACTTGGGGTGTGAACTGCTGCTTCTTTCCTCCCTCAAGCCTCCTGCTCCTTCCTGACGGAGGTCAGAATTCCACACAGCACTTGGTCTGCTGAGGACCTTGGTCCCTGACCCCCAGGGGGACAGGTTAGAACAGGAGCAGTCAGCCAGCCCCAAATTGAGAATATCTGATGAAGTGGAGCTCTGGAGGCTCTCTGGGTGAGATCATGGGGTGGAAACATAATTTCTGAAGGAGGAAACCTGCAGAAAATAATTTTCCCTCTCCCACCCACTGACCTGAATCGCCTCTCCTCTCGTGAGACTGATGGGAAGCTCGCGTCCGAGTGGCCCGGGGACCTGTCAGGAGGTTTAAAATCAAATGGGATGAGTTTATGTGGTTAGGAAGTGATGGTGACTAATAACTTACAAGCAGATGACTTAGAAAGCACTTGGTTCTTGGCCCTGGAAGGGTATAATTGCTGTGCCCAGCCCTTTTCTCCTTCTACCTCAATTTGACAGTGATTATTGCTGAGCTGGGAATTCCCCTGCTCTTCCTGCCGCGGACAGGGTAACATCCTGTTGGCCAGCTGAACTGCACTTCTTCCTGGTACTTCCTTTTCCCTCTTCTGCCTTCATTCTTCCCCACACTAACACCCATGGCAGCAATAGCTGGAGCTGGTCTGAAACGCCAGGTTAGCAGAGGTGGGGAGGTGGTGGTGGTGTCTCTGTGTGCCTCTTCCAACTTGCTGCTTCCTCACCTCATTCCCTAAAGCTTTTTTTCCCACCTTGGCAAGGGTGAAGCTGAACTTAATTTCTGACATGGACAGGGAGAGTGGCACAGCCCCTCTTTGAGGCACTGCTGTGCTTCAGGCATGGAGGCCACATGCTCACCCACAGCATTAAAGTTTGGGGAAGACTCAAGTCCTCTGCCACCACAGGGATGCCTTGGATGCAAGGGGCACCAGGAAAGTGGGGATTTTTTCTGAAGTGTGGAGTGTGAAGCTGTGGGGATGGGCAGGAGATAGTAGGATTGGGTGAAAACTGCCCCGAAACAGAATGTGGAGCCTGTTTGGAGCATCTTTTGCATTTTTGCTGCTACTGAAATGCAAACAAGAGGAAGGAATAAAGTTACTTGCTTCTCATTATGCAGCTGTCTCAAAGTAGCCAGCATATGCAAGATGGGAGGGCTGTACACCTCCACCAAGATCTTCAGAAAGTGAGTGCAATGAGAAATGATTTTCTGTTGACACTTAATAGTGTTTTGGCCTGTTCTGTTGGAAAAAGCCTTTCTTAAACAAAATGAGTCTCAATTAAGCTAGCAAAGGCAGCAAGGGGCAAAAGTTTACTTGAAACCTTTCCTTCTTCATAACTCTCCATTTTGGGGAATCATACATACTATTTTCTTATTTTCTTTCAGCATTTCTGTAGTTATGATGGGATTGAAAATTTTAACTTTTGAAAACCCTGAAGTTTAGGATTATCTGCAAAAGGGAGCCTCAAGACCCTATCACAGAATAACCAGCACTTTCTGTATGTCAAAGAGGCACCATTTTTCATCACTCACTCTGATAGTGCAAAAAAAAAGAAAAAGATGGAGAAATTGATTGTTCAATTGGAATATCTCTTAACTGCTGAACTGTGGAGAAAGGGGCCATGCCAGCACTTCACAAAACCTGAGTACTGGAGTAGCCAGCATCAGGGAGGGAGTGAGTAAAACCTGAACAAGGCACCAGTATCTTTGGGTGTTATGGGTCAGCTGAGCCCTCCAGCTGAGGAGCTGCATTAAAGAACTTTCCCTCTTTCTTTCATCCCCTTCCTTGGCAGTAATTACTGTGCAGGAGAGAGGCTGCACCCACACTGCAACAGCCAGAGGAGCCCTGAGGAAGATACCAGGATTTAGGGTCCAATCTGTTTGGAAATAAAGGAATTTACTTAGATTTTGAAAACCTTCTCCATGTCAGGGAGGAGTTGAATGTTCCATGAAAAATGGTCTGAGGTTGGGAAGGGGGAAGAGTGTGTATGAGGAAAGGTCTAACCTGCTAGTGGGATGGCATGATCTGCATGCATATCTGCCTCCTAGGTTGGGTGCTGTCTGAGCTGGGGACGTGATGGGTCACCTGGCTGTGTGTGCTCTGCAGGTTGGAAGCACCACATGACTACAGTGATCCCTGGAGTCCTGGGTGTGCTCTGGAGTTCCTGGGTTTGGCCACCAGCCCCACACTGGAGCTGCCCTCCTTGCCCATGTCCTCGTGTGCACACTCAGGGAACGGGGGGAACAAACATCCAGGAGCATACTGTTGTCCCTGTCTGGAAGCTGGTGGCTGCTGGTACCTGCAGATTTGCTGGTGGATCAGAGGATTTCCCTCATCATGGGCAATTAGTGCTAAGATGGATCACAGGATTAGAAGAACTGGAAACAACCCTAAAATGACAGGAGGTACAGCACAACTGGGGTTTCTGAGCCAACAGCTCTGCTGAGGTATGGTCAGTCTGTTCCTCTGGTTTTGAAGAACATTAACAGGAACAATGGTTTGTTCATGGAGCCTCTGCCAGAGCCTAAAGCATCTCCTGCAGGTGCAGGGTTTTGCACGCAGCAAATTCAGACCTCTTGGCCTTTCTCAACACAGCACCACAGTGTCCTTCCTTGTCCCCTCAGCTGAGGATTGTGTTTTTGCAATGCAATTTCAGGGAATGCATTTTTATTTGATTTAAACTTTTTGCACCAGTCCTGAAAGGATGATTTATGCCAAGTAAATCCAAGGTGTTTCTCCCACAGGATGAGTTGGTGTCAGACACAGATGGTGTGTGTCCTTGGCCCTATGGCAAGTTAGGGACCCACTTGTCCAGTGATGTCCATGTATTTCTCAGGAACTATCAGAGAACTAGAGGGGAAGGGAAGGGGCAGGGGGAGAACAGCACAGGGAGAAGTGCTCTGGGATAGAATTATTTGGTGATTTTAGGATTTGTCACCAGCTGCACCACAACAAAAGCTGCAGAAGCTGCAAGAGCACCATCCCTGTGGGCTGCCAGGCCTCATCAGTGAATTCACCTGGACAGGGAGGCCTATTTAAAACAAGGGGAGGGGTGAAGGCTGGGCTGTTAGCAAGAGGACAGTTGTTTATGAGCAACATAACATTTCTGTATTGTAAAAAGATATTTATGAGGCTGTTTTTCCAGAAGTATCTTTTTTTTTTTTTTTTTTTTAATGAGTCAATTAGTACCTGGGAGAAAAAGGGTGGAGAGGCAGAGGGCAGTTGGCCTGCTCAAGGACAGCAGTGAAGACAGACTGCTGGCAGATCCCTGCACAGAATGGATGCCCAAAAGATACAGGAGCACCTATCTTGCTGTTGCTGTATGCAGGTGTCACCTCAGGTAAGTGACATGTAACCTCCACACATGTGCCGGTGTTAATGGGCTGCCTGACAGATGACAAGCTTGACTGAACTCTCTGGAGAGATGAAAACCTCCAGAGTATTGCCAGGTAAGGGGCTCTGATGGCTTCATTTCAAAATGTGTCTGAAATCACCCTGAAGAAGTGAAACTAAATGGAGTTGAGAAGCATTGTTGAGGCTTTTCAAAAATTATAGTATTGCCTACTTTCATTTCTCAAGACCCCCCTCAGAATAATAATAATAATAAAAAAAATCCTCATAAATAGGAAGCAGGAGTTTTTCACATATTAAACAGTAATAAAATGGGAAGACTTCTCTGGCTCACCCAACCTCACTGCGTAATGCAGTAGAAAATGTAGCAATCCTCCCAACTAGTAGGAACTGAAAATAGCTTTCTCCTTTGCTGTGCTTGTTTATTTCTCCTGTGCCAGATTTGTCTCGTTTGGTAGGGAAAACTGCCAGGAGTGTATGAGGAAACTCTGGGCGCTGGTGTTTGGAATACACTGTTGTGAAAGCACTTGAACTTCTCTAGAGCCTTTCAGCAGAGGGTTGTGAAGCAGTTTACGAACATCAGTTAATGGGAGGCTGTAAATAAGAGAAATCTGCTGGAGAAAAGGCTTTTCATCATGAAAGGCCTGATCTGTTTTCACAATCTCAGAGGCAGAGGTTAATGCGGTGAAGGCCAGTGCTGCTGTGGGCTGACTCTGTCAGTAATTTTTAGCCTGTAACCACACGTGGAGCATGGCCCCACTGCTCATAAAAATGTGCCAAGGCTGGGACAGAATGTCAGCCAGAAGGGTTGGTGGCTCCAGGACAGGGCCTGACCCGAGCTTTGGGGTCTGAGGAATGGCAGAAATAAATGCTCCTGGGAACATGTACACACAGGACCGTGGGCCCCTGCCCTCGGACCTGGAGTTGTATTTGGGTAACAAAAGCAATTGTTAGCCTTTCCTCCCATCTACTGTTACCTGATCCTACAGAGAATGACAGCCTAGGTTTGTTGTTTGCATCTGACTTCCAAAGAATCTGCACCCAAAATAAGCATTTGTACTTTATTTGGGGTGATGGCAGTGCTAGCTGTGAGATGCAGGCTTGCTTTGACCAGTATTCCTCCCAGGTTTTTCCAACTCAAGCTTTACTGCATGACTTGACTGCTTGGGAAGGGTAAAACCTGGCTGTAAACAGAGACTGTACCCTTTGTCATTGCTGTTTAATTCTACCAAAGCACAACCCTACTTGATGCACAGGGCTCTTCCTGGGGAGGAGGCAGCACATATCCTCCTACTGCATGCACTGCTGCTGAATGGGATCCAGCACTCCCAGATTTGCACACTTTGTCAGAAAAGTCCCTTCTTGGTGGCAAATTTAACACCATTTAATCTGCTTCCTTCAAGATGCCTGTATGACTGAAGCTTTACAGGCTCCAAGGTCATGTGCATCAGGTCCACAATACTCCACAGCCAGAGAAAATCGAAGTATCAACCTGCCTGCATCTACACAGCAGTCAGTGTAAGTCTGCACCACAACAGTGAGTCCGATCTTTGTGTCTTTATCACTCTCTGTCAGCATCTTGAAGTTGAAGCCACAGAGGCTGCCTAGCATAGCATAGCTACCCAACACCCAGAACTCACTAGAAAATGAGCTGGGGCTGTAGGTGAGGGAATGGGAGAGGTTTGGAGACATGAGCAACTTGGGCACCCTGTGGTAATACATTTTGCAACAGGATGCCTTTAATGCATTTGGTTATTACTTTTTATGAATGCACCTCTTTGACAGTTTTTAACTTTTTCTGAACCATAAGAGTCTCTTTAGCAGCTGCAAAACACTTGCTTAAAAATTAAGGTATTTTATTTGAACAATAATTAAAAATGATAGCAGCTTCTCCACCAGTTCCTTCAGGCAGCGTTTTACTGAACTGCAGCTGAAGGATGTTTTGCAGTTTGTCAGCAGGTCCCTGGTGGCCTGTACTTATTCCCACTGCACTGCATCAGTGACATCTGGCTCCACTCAGTTCTATAAATTCAGCAGAATGGGAATGTCTGCGTGATGGTCCCTGGGGATTAGCCAGTAAAAGAAAAGGAGCAACCACTAAAGGAACAGTAAATGACACCCAGTGAGATGCTTTGCATGGGAGCAGGAGCTCAGCCTCGGGAGGACCTTGAGGGAATGTTTTGCCCTGCATGAGCATGAAGAAAAACTACTGAGTGATTGTTCTGG